ATTTCAAATGTTGAAAGATTGAAAAAACAAAAATTTGAAAAATCGGGAAATTGAAATTTAAAAAATGAAGAATCGAAAAACTCAATCAAGAAATTAAAAAATTCAAAACAGAAATGACGAAAAATTGTGAAATTGAAACATGGAAAAATGGACAAAACCGAGAAATCGAAATAGCGATTTTTCAATTTCTGGGTTCTTCACTTTTTCGATATCTGCTTTTTTTAATTCTTCGATATTTCTACATAGGTATTTGATTTTCGAATTTTTAAATTTTCGATTGTTCAGTTCCAGTTCCTCGCTCTTTCGACTTTCTCAGATTTTTCAATTTTCGATTTTTCGGAATTTTTGATTTTTCAAATTCTTGATTTTTCGAGATTTCGTTTGTGTGAATTTTTCGGTTGTTCAGCGCGTGCTGATTTTGGCAAATGATATTTTTCTACTTTTCCCCTCTTCAATTTCACGATTTTAAAGTATTTTTTTCAATTTTTGACTATTATAATTTCTCAGTTTTTCGATTTTTCAATTAATCGATGTTTTGATTTTCCCATTTCCTGACTGTAGACTGTTTCGATTTTTCAGTTTTTCAATTCTTCAATTTTTCGATTTTTCAGGTTTTTGATTTTTTAATTTTTCAATGTTAAAAGGTTTCGATTTTTCGACTTCACTTTTTAGACTTTTAGATTTCCCAATTTTTCAATTTTTTACTTTCCCAGTTTTTGGCTGTTGCAATTTTTCAAATTTTCAGTTTTGGGATTTTTCAGATTATTTATTATTAAATTTCCCAATTCTTCAGTTTCTCGAGTTTCGATTTTCTGATGTTTCAGTTTCAGGTTTTTTCAATTTTACGATTTTTTGATTTTTCAATTTTGACTTTTCTAGATTCTCAATTTTTCGATTTTTCAATTAATCGATGTTCCGATTTTCCCATTTCTTGACTTTTGGACTTTTTCGATTTTCCAGTTCTTCAATTCTTCAATTTTTCGATATTTCAGGTTTCTCAATTTTTCGATTTCTCGAACTTCTGATATTTCGATTTTTCAATATTTCTTTGTTTTTCGTTTTTTAATTTTTAAATTTTCAAATTTTTTGAAGCCGAAAATCGAAAAATCGAAAGCGAGTAATCAAAAAATCGAAAAACTGAAACGTCGAGAAATCGAGAAATTGAAAAGTCGAGAAGTCGGAAAATATCGAAAAACAGAAAATAAAATTGAAAATTTAAAACTAAAAAAAAACGATAAATAACGAAAAATCGAAAGGTCGGGAAATCGAAACATCAAAAAACTGAAAAATCTAACATTTAAAACTTATAAAATGAAAAAATAGAGATATTGAAGTACCGACAAATCGAAAAATTGAGAAATCGAAAAATCTCAAATTTAAGAAATTGAAAAATAAAAATATAAAAGAATTGAAGGCTGCAAAATTCAAAAATCGGGAACATGAAACATCAAAAAAATCGAAAAGTCGAAATATCGAAAAATTGGAAAATGGAAAAAAATCGAAGAACCTAAAAGCTGAAAAATTCCAAAACTGAAAATTCAAAAAATTGAGAAATCGAAAAATTAGAAAACTGAAACATCGAGAAATTAAAAGATTCCAAACTGAAATCGAAAAATTTAAAACTCGAAAAGCCGAAAAGGCTGAAAAACCGCAAGATCAAAACATCGAAAAATTGAAAAACTGAAAAATCGAAAAATCGAGAAATGGAAAATTTGACGCGTCGAAAAGTTGACAATGAAAAATTGATAATTAGAAATTACAAAAAATTTAAAAATAAAAAGTCGATAAATTGAAGAAATCCAAAACTGAAATAACGAAAAATTGGGAAACTGGAAAACTGGAAAAGTGAAAATCGAAAAGCCGAAAATCGAAAATTCGAAAAAAGCGGCAAATCAAAGAATCGAAACATCCAAAAATTTTAAAAACCCGAGAAATTGAAAAGTCGGGAAGATGAAAAAAATCCGAAATTTAAAAAATAAAAAATTGAAAATTTAAAACTTAAAAGAAAAAATGAAAAATTTTAAATTTAAAAAAATCGATAGTCAGAGAAAAATAGAAAAACTGAAAAACTGAAAATTCGACAATTTAAAAAAAACTGAAAAATCTACCACTTAAAAATTACAAATAATTAAGACACAAATATTGAAGAACTGAAAAATCGAGAAATCGAAAAATCTAAAATTTAAAAAATTGAAAAATTAAAATATAGAAAAATTTAGAGATTTGAAAAATTGAAATACCAAAAAAATCGAAAAAGCAGAAAATCCAAAAATCGAATAAGTGAAAAATAGAAAAAAATTGAAGAATCTAAAAACTGAAAAATCCCAAAACTAAAACATCAAAAAATTGAGAAAAACCTTAAAAATGGATAAACTGAAATGGCGAAAAATTGGGAAATCGAAGAACTGTAGAACTAAAAAATCGAAAAATCTAATAATTGAAAAGCCGAAAAGTCGAGAAATGAAAAATCGAAACATGCAAAATTGAAAAACTGAAACATCGAGTAATAGAGAAATTGAGAAATTGAAACGTCGTTTTTTTGGTTTCTCAGTTTTTAATTTTTAGATAGACTGATTTTGGAAATTTATATATCTTCCATGAAAATGGAGGGTGGGCGGGCGGGACTAGTATTTGCTAGGATAAGACTGATTTTGGCAAATGATATATTCACTAAAAAAATAAAGGGCGGGTGGGCGGGGCTAGTATACTTTCTAAGATACGACTGATTTTGGAAAATAGTAGTAGTCACTAGAATTTTGTATTAAATATTTATGTTTATGACGTCATAACAAATTTTTATTGTTGAAATTATCCTATTTTCTTGAAAAAGTGAGAATACGCCCCTAAGGGGTCCGAACTGTCTTTTTTAAAAATACAAAACCTTCTCGGTGGTCCCAGCTGTACTTTTTTAAGAAGGTGAAACGTTCTTTTTTTATTACACTGTGACTAATACCTTATTTATTGTTTTTACTCTATAGAGGTGATCACGAAAAAGTAAAATTCCCCAAAATCGAATTATATAGGGTGATTTTTTAAGAGGCAGTATTTGTTGGACTGTACTTCAGCAGCCAGGGAATTTAACAACTGTTGACCAATTTTTTCTGAATATTGACATGGTGTAAACCCCACCCAGCAACAAAACTCAAACCCGCCCCAAATAAAAACCAAAACACAATCCACCCCCGAAAAAATACGACTTCGATCAGCCCCGCTCCAATCATCCCGTTTCGTAACCCCGCTTCGGCTAAATAAAAACTCGACACGACAACAACTCCAAGGCTGGGAGCATATTTTGTCCCAATATCGCTGGTGCGGAATATTTATGGATTGCGATGGAAAGAGTGCGAGTAATCAAATCATTTGATCGGAATGTGGGGTGCGATAAAGCTCCTACGCACCGACGTCGCCCCGGAGCTTTCTACTTTCGCAGTGCGAGAGTTTTGCGGGATTTCGGGATACAACGGAGAAATTATTTGACAATGTTGCGAAGAGTAGGGATTGTTTGGCGTTAATTAGGAACGAATTTATAGAAATTTGCTGCGGGGATAGATACGGGGGCGAAAAGTTTAGGCGGAGTTGCGGAGCTGGATGATATGGGAGTGTGTGGAAGTTGGGATTTGAATTAGCTGGGGGGTGTAGGTGTAGCGGGGAGGGCGACTAGTAGTTACAGTGATAAGAGAGACGTGCGGAGGTTGGGAAGGAACTTAGTTTGTGAGGCAAAAACAGTTTACATGGGGAGAACATTGCGAGTTGTAGTGCTTCGAAGTAATTTTCAAAATTTTTGATATGAACATTTATGTCTTGGAATTTGACAAAATTCATTTCGCTTTGTGAAGAATTTCAAAAATGCGAGCGCAGCAAGCACGTTCAGGTGTTATTCAAAAATTATTCATTGGTGTCCCTGAGAAGCTAAGTTATTACGAAAAATGTTATTGTTTCCTAAAAAAGTAAGTTTAAAGATTGTGTGTGATCACCGAAACAGCCTGTTCGTGCTCGCTGCATTCGCTATTTAGAGATTGCTTTTTTCAGTGTAATTTACCTTGACACGGAGATCTCGAGAATTATTAAAATAAAAACTAAATAGTGTTGCTGACCGTAAATATTTTTTGACACTCAATTAATTACAATAACAACAATCAGAATGCGAGCGCAGCGAGCACGTTCAGGTGTCATTAAAAAATGTATTTATTGATGTCCCTGAGAAGCTAAATTAATAAAAAATCAAGTATATTAATTTTGACGTCATTATGTGTGGCGCAATGTTATCAGATGTTTAGAAATAAAATGATAAAAATGCAAAATGTGGCACATAATTTTAGCTTCAAATTTACCATTTGATATTTTAAGTATTCTATTGATGAAAGAAAGCTATATATCCTAAGAAAAAAAAGCCTAAGATTAAGCCCCACCCATCCGTTTCGATCTCAATTGAAATAAATTTTTCATTCGTTATCAAAGCGGGGGGCGGAGCTTAATTGCAAAATCGATATTTCTCTGCAAATATGTAGCATTTTTATGAAAATAAGAGCGTATATTAAGAAACACAAGGCAAAATATAAGGCCCGCCCACCCGCCCTATCTCAATTCTGATGATTTGGGTAATTACAATCCGTATTTCCTCAAAAATTTCGATTTGGTGACTTTTGAGAAAAATCTAAGGTTCTGGAAATAATGTAGTGACTTAGGTCGCAAGTTTATGCAATTTTAAGGTTACGTTTATTAACATAACCTCAAGAAGTTAAAATTTCTGAGGTCGCGACATACGTATTTTGGTGACATAATGAAGGGCGAAAACTAGATGACAAGTTCAAAAAAGTACACAAATTGGGTCAAACAGCACAACACAAATTGCTCAAGGTAAAACGACCAGTGGCAAATCCAGGGATCTGTTAGCTATTACAGACATAGAATGGGGGAAATTTATGGAAAACAGTCTCAAAAACCTTCGAAAAATTACTAGTCAATGAGATAGGGGCAATTTTCAACTAATATTTTCTTACCTTTTTTGAAAATTGGTGAGATCATAGATAGTTTCCAAATATCTGGAAAAGATGCAGTTTTCAAAATAAGATTGAATATAGTAAGAATACGGATGCACAGTCAGATAATGGGAAACTTGTCATATTGAGGCAACAGAAACAGATAAAAGGAATTAAGACTCCTCAATAAAATCGTCTGTAGAATCTGGACTACAGTCAGAAGATTTTTTTATCTTTAGGATTTGGAAAAATAGCCAAATAACTCATCCTAGAAGAAGTACTTTTTTCAAAAAGTGGGGTGGTCGCGGTATACAGGGTCGCTAGAATGTATGGAAACGGTTAAATATCTTCAGAAATGCTTTCTCTATTACATGATTAATATGATACACAAACGTTAATTAAGTCGGTTTAAATCATCTTGCAGTAATTGTGCATCTTTGAAATCACTAATAACGTGATAAAACGATTATTTATCTAATAAAAATCCGTGACAGCAGACATACAGACGGAAAAGGGAGACCTATTTCTTCGTACTCTAGGGGTCTTGAAAAATCGAGAAAACTCGATTACAATAAGAATTCAATCTAACAAATTTACTTCAGAGGCGCGCTTTTTTATTAAGGTGTATTAATTAATGTAATGCCTCGTCCATCGAGACGATTACGAAAAAAATTCAACCGGAATTGTAAAATAACATCGAGCTTTCAATTCGGGCCAAGTGGCGAGGAACTGAAGAGCTTTCTCTTCAAGATCAATACTAACAGAAAATGAAAACAACGTTGTTTTAAAAGTTGCTGAAATTTGTCGATGTTTAATTGAATCAACTCGCGAGCTTTGAATTGAAATTAGTTGAAGTGGTAATTTCGGTTTTCTGAACTTGTTTGTTGTTCATTTTTCGGGTAATATACTCAGCTGTGGTTCTGCCATTATCTAAAGAGCGGATTTTAGATTTAATAATTGTGGAGTAATATTTCCGTAAGCACAGGTCTCCATAAATGGAGATTTTCGTTTTAATAATAGTTTGCAATTTAATTTTTATTATGTTGAAGTTTGTTATTAATTTCATGTCACTGACCTGAAATTTCGACTTTTTTCCTAAATTTGCATTTAATTTTTTTTTTTGACATAAATTAGTTGAACTTTCACCTTTGTTATTTTGAAATTTCAAGGTTCCATAAATAAAAATTTTGGGTTGAAATTAACTGAAATTTGAACTTCATTCTCCGAAATTTAAACTAGACTGAAGCTTCGATTTAATTTTCCTAAATTTTTCGATATTTCAGTGGTGGGATTTTTCAATTTTTCGATTCCAAAATTTCTCGGCTCTTCAAAGTGTCAAATTCTCAAATTTTTCATTTTTCGATTTCTCAATTTTTCATTGTTTCGATTTACCACAATTTTTCATCATTTCACTTTTTGGCGTTTTTCAATTTTTCGATTCTTTGATTTTTTTTCTATTTTCCAATTTTTCCACATTTTAGTTTCAGGAATTTACAGTATTTCGATTTTTCGAATTGTCGATTTTTCAATTTTTAAATTATATATTTTTTAAGATTTTAATGTTACGATTTCTCGATTTTTCGATTTTTCAATTTTTTGGGTTATTAATTTTTTGTATTTAAAATTTTTCCATTTTGGGATTTTTAACTTTTACATTTTTCGATTTTGACCTACTTTGATTTCTCAATTTTTCGATTTTTCCGATCTTCAATTTTTCAATTTTTCGAATTTTTAATTTTTTATCGATTTCCTTTAATTTATGTTTTGCAATTTTTCAATTTTTAACTTTCAGATTTTTCAATTTTGGCCTATTGAGATTTTCAATGTTTCGATTTTCCAATTATTCGTCATTTCACTTTTGGAAGTTTTCAATTTTTCGATTTTTCTACTTTTCTATTTCTGGATCTTTGAATTTTTTGGTGTCTCAGTTTTGGGATTTTTTAATTTTTGGATTCTTCAATTCTCGTTCAATTTTTCAATTTTTCGATGTTTTAGGTTTAGGAATTTTCAATTTTTCGTTTCTTAGATTTTCCTTCTATATTTCAATTTTTTGATATTTTAGTTTTTGAATTTTGTCATATATGTATATCGATTTTTCGAATTTTCGATTTTTCAATTTTTTGATGTACCAATTTACCAATGTTTCGTCATTCCACATTTTCGATATTCCAGTTTTGGGATTCTTCACTTTGTTGATTCTTAAATTTTTCTTGTATTTTTAAATGTTTCAATATTTCATTTCTAACATTTCGACTTTTCGATTTTTTAATGCATCGATTTTTCAATTTTTCGGTGTTTTAATTTTTCAGTTTATAAATTTTGGATTTTTTGATGTTTCAGTTTCTCGATTTTCGATTTTCCAAATTTTCGAATTTTTAAATTTTAGATTTTCGGTTTTTTTAATTTTTCGATTTATTTTGATTTAAAATTTTTCAATTTTGCAATTTTTAACTTTTAATTTTTTGGATTTTGGCTTATTTCGATTTCTCAATTTTTCGATTTTTTACTTCTCGACTGTTTCATTTTTCGATCTTTTGATGTTTCGATTTGTCGATGTTTCAATTTTAGAGTATTTCAAAGTTTCGATTTTTTGATTTCTCGGTTTTTCAATTTTTCAACTTTTCGATGTTTTGAGTTCCCAATTTTTCCTCGTTTCATTTTGGGAATTTTTTAATTTATCGATTTTTCAAATTTTCGTTTCTTCAACTTCAATTTTTCGACATTTCAATTTCTAGATGATTCAATTTTGGGATTTTTCAATTTTTGGTTTCTTCAGTTCTTCTACAATTTTTCAATTTCGCGACGTTTCAGTTTTGGGATCTTTCAGTTTTTTGATTCTTAGGTTTTTCTTCTGTTTTTCAATTATCGACTGTTTTTATTCTAAATTTTTCAATTTTTCAATTCTTATCTATTCCATTATTCTTATTTTTCCATTTTGACCTATTTCGATTTCTCAGTTTTTCGATTTTTCGGCTTTTCGGCTTTTTCATTTCTCGACCTTTTGATGTTTCGATTTCCCACAAGTTTCAGGTTTTTCGATTTCTATTTTTTTTTATCCTTTAAATTTTGATTTTTTTCAATTTTTGACGTTTTTAAATTCTCGATCTTTCGATTTCCTGATTTCTGGATTAATCTACTTTTTCGTCTTTCGACTTTTCTACTTCAATTTTTTTAATTTTTCAACTTTTTAGGTTTATAACTTTTCAGTTTTTCGAGTTTTTAAATTTTCGGATTTTCGACTTCCATTTTTCGGCTTTTCGATTTCTCCATTTTTCAGTTTTTCGATTTTCCAATTTTTCGATATTTCAGCTTTTAGATTTTTCAATTTTTCGATGTTTCAGTTTTTTTATTTTTCAATTTTTCAATTTTTGAGGTTTCTAAATTTCTGTATTAACGAATTTTTGGGAATTGGAGGAATTTTGGTGTTTTCAGGATTTGAGGGTTTTGGTATTTTGAGTATCTGAAGATTTTAGTATTTTGAAGATTTGAGGATTTAAGTGTTTGAAAATTTGCGGATTTTGGAGTTTTGAAGATCCGGAGATTTTCGTGTTTTCAAGATTTGAGAGTTTTTGTGTTTTGAGGATTTGAGGATGGTGAAAAATTTCAGTTTTGAAAAAGTCGTCTAAAAATTCTCAAAAAATTCATGATGACAGACCTTGACGTGCTGATTCTAAAATTATAGGGTATTTATGGCAGCGGAGCAACATTTTCGAAATATTCGATGCGAAATTCGAAATTTTTGAAATTTCTAAATTGCGATATAACAATTTTTCTAATTTTTGGCTCGGCGATTTCTCTATTTTTCGATATTTCGGTGGTGGGATTTTTCAATTTTTGCATTCCAAAATTTCTCGGTTCTTCAAATTGTCGAATTTTCAAATTTTTCATTTTTCGATTTCTCAATTTTCCAATGTTTCAATGTTACAATTTTTTAATATTTCGGTTTCTCAGTTTTTCGATTTATCGATTTTTTACTTTTATGATTTCTCAGTTTTCCGATGTTCCAGTTTTACTATATTTCAATTTTTTTATCCCTCAAATTTTGATTTTTTCAATTTTTGACGTTTTTCAATTTTCGATTTTTCGATTTCCTGATTTCCCGATTTCGTCTTGCCACTTTTCTATTTCAATTCTTTTAATTTTTCAATTTTTTAGGTTTCTGACTTTTCAGTTTTTCGAGTTTTTAAATTTTCGACTTCCATTTTTCGGCTTTTCGATTTCTCCATTTTTCAGTTTTTCGATTTCCCAATTTTTCGATATTTCCTTTTAGATTTTTCAATTTTTCGATGTTTCAGTTTCTTTATTTTTCAATTTTTCAATTTTTGAGATTTCTAAATTTCTGTATTAATTGATTTTTGGGATTTCGAGAATTTTGGTGTTTTCAGAATCTGAGAATTTTAGTATTTCGAAGATTTGAGGATTTAAGTTTTTTGAAAATTTGAGGATTTTTGAATTTTGAAGATCCGCAGATTTTGGTGTTTTCAAGATTTGAGAGTTTTTGTGTTTTGAGAAATTGAGGATGGTGGAAAATTTTATTTTTGAAAAAGTCGTCTAAAAATTCTCAAAAAATTAATGATGACAGATCTTGACGTGCTGATTCCAAAATTATAGGGTGTTTATGGCAGCGGAGCAATATTTTCGAAATATTCCGTGCGAAATTCGAAATTTTTGAAATTTCTAAATTGCGATATAACAATTTTTCTAATTTTTGGCTCTGCGATTTCTCGATTTTTCGATATTTCGTTGGTGGGATTTTTCAATTTTTCCATTCCAAAATTTCTCGGTTCTTCAAATTGTCGAATTTTCAAATTTTTCATTTATCGATTTCTCAAATTTCCAATGTTTCAATGTTACAATTTTTTAATATTTCGGTTTCTCAGTTTTTCGATTTATCGATTTTTTACTTTTATGATTTCTCAGTTTTCCGATGTTCCAGTTTTACTATATTTCAATTTTTTATCCCTCAAATTTTGATGTTTTCAATTTTTGACGTTTTTAAATTTTCGATTTTTCGATTTCCTGATTTCCCGATTTCGTTTTTCGACTTTTCTATTTCAATTCTT